CTGTTTCAGAAAATCTTCATCTTCTCATTACGCTGTTTAAATTTATCAAAGTGACCAGTTGCTTTAAATCCTTCAAACTTCCCTTTTTTCTAAAATGTGTTACGTCTACATGGATTTCTAACTACATTTATCGTGCTATTGTGATTCCAGAGATATTTTACTTCTCAAAATAATTTTTGTGATAACGTCACATCAAGCTATGGACAGATAACAGAATTAACCGCCTCATGTAACTGTCAATATGGCTGTACTGATTCGAAAAATGATTCGGCGAAAAAAAAATCTTTTTGCTAAGTTATCTTTTAATGTTTTCTTTACGAAGTTGTAAATAATCACTTGCTAAGAAACTTATGAATACTGTAATGAAAGAAACAAATAACTGTGGTGAGATCTGACAGAATTTCGCACGAATCTTATCGATAACTGAAAATTGAGCAATTCACTATACGACTACGGCTTATCGATTTCATGAGGCGGTTAAGAAGACATTGTATTTTGAGATAAATGAGAATTCTTTTTAATTTTGGGGTAGTATTCATCACGAACTGATATCAGTTGGGAATGGAACTCCTTACCAGCACTCACCCACAACCAGGCTAGGAATCGAATCCTGGCTTCACGGTGAACGCGTTAACCCCTCAGCCACTAGATAGCAGTTCAGTGGTTCACAGTTTCCAACATCTGTCAATTTGAGATATAGCGTGACTACTACCCAAGATCTTCAGAAGGCAACCGTTTCCCTTCCGACTGGTTGACCTCAAACGTCACGACTTGTCATTAGAACTTCGAGATATCCATCTGGAAGCATGTCACTAATGAGTACCATACACTAATGTAGTTTTAGATGAATGGGGATTTTTTAATTTTGAGGTAGAATTCATCATAGTACTGACATCAGTAGAAGAGTTACTGGAAACCTGGGACCACTGAACAGCTGTTTCGCCACAGCATTAACTCCTCAGAAATATGTACCCGCAAACACACCAGATGTCGATCTTAGGGTCATCAGGTTTTACAGAGAACGCGCGAGCCAACGGGTCAGAGCTCAATGGTCCAAAATTTTCTACTTCTGTCAGTTGGTGCTTTAGCAAGAGAAAGACAGACAGTCAGTTGTATCCCAATAATTGAGTATCGCTGTGACTTGTATCCGGTGGATATACTCATATGAAGACTTCAAAATAAATCATGTAAAATCGATATCAATTGAAGTAGATCATTAGTTAGATATATTTTACCTTCAAATTGGTGAAAATGATGAATACACAACGACTTTATTTGTAGAAAGACTTCCCATACTCTTACACTTGTTGTAAAGCAACTCAAGTATATCGTTTATGCATTGGAAAGGAAAATATGAGTGAACAGAGATCAACATAACTTAGGTGAGTGATTTAATAAATCGATCAAAGAAACTTATTCAAGTTATATAAGTAGGGTAGTAAAAAAATAACACGTGAGAAATTTAGTTTGACTTTGAAGTGTACAATGGAGTTGTAAGGCCTCACGGCGGAGTAGTAATAGATATTATTTAAGCAAGATAAATATGTTCAGAATAAATCATGTGGGACAGTGTGCTTGTTATGTGGAACTTTTTATGGGTGTCACTATGTTTCACTATACCAATCCGTCTTTTCTGTTGACAGTAAAAGTGTACGACCGATATTCAAAGCTTTTGCGATAGTCGGCTCTTTGTGACAAAGAAAACCCTTTTACAAGATCTCTGTCTTTAAAGAGATACTTCATCTTTCATATATCAGTTTAACTGTTCCTGTGGAACTAGCTACATAGGGTGTACGATTAGGCAGGTACGTCTCCGGATACAAGAGCATTTACCAGCTTGGTTAGGAAAGGATGACGTGAAAGTGGTGAAAAGTTCAGTCTTAGAGCATCTATTCGACACAGGGCATCACATAGATGCTAATGAAGATTTCAGTGTCATTCATCGTGTTCCAAAAACGACACCACGTGTAGCTTGCCAACGTCTGCTTAACATAGTGGAAGTTGTCACAATAAGATTGATCAAGCCCGAACTCTGAAATCAGGAAGAACATGTCCAAGTGTTGCTTCTCCCTTGACCTTCAGTAAACTAAGGGCCACTCCTGTCTTCGCTATTCGTTATCTTTTTGTTCCCTATCATATCATTCATCTGTATATATGCATCATCCCAATATTGACAAATTTAGAGAAAGATAAGTCGATTTCCTTACAGTCCCTTAACCTCAATCCATTTTGGAAATGTACCTGCCCATAGCATGGCTTGTTTTTAAGCTGTACAACTGGATTTTATAATTGTAGAACCTGATACAAAATTCATTGTAAAGAATATTCTTCGTCAGATTGTCGCATTTTTATTAATATTGTGGCAATCTTTAGTTGTTCGAAATCTTATAAGACATGAACTATGATAGCAGAGTCTGTTTTAAGTGTTCCCAGTGCCTAGGAAGGTTTTGGCTGCTGTTTGCAACTTTGACGATGTTCAGTTAGACGAATTATTGCTTGATGTAATGTCTCTCCAATGTACGCGGTATCGCATTCACTGTAATCTAACTTCCAAATGAGTGTAGAGTGTTCATCACTTCAAAAAATACGCTAATCTTGTAACTGTTAAGGATATATCTTATTTCTTCCAGTGTAGATGGTGTCTGCTAAGAAATTAATACAGTGTTTATCCAACCTATATAAGTTGGTTTTTTTCATGTCTTTTATTCGACAAGACTTCTTCTTTTGCTTTAAGTAACTTCTCCGGAAAATTGTTTTGGTTTAGTATTTCTCGAACAAGTTCTCGGTCTGGTTTCTGAGCACCCAAATTATTAGGTACCCTTGGTGATCTTGTCAACAAATTTTTTGAGACGTTTAACTTAATTTTTGGTGGATGAACTGAATCAAAGTCAACATATTCGTTAGAATACGTATTCTTTCAATCGACATCAATATCAAGTGTTCCGTCGTTGCTCCGTGTATTTACATATACACTGAATAGGATCAGTATGACCAGTGTTATATGATCTGATGAAATAAACAAGGACTAAACTCCAAGTATGAGAAAAACCAATTAAGTTAAAAGCATTTTCTTTAGTGTAACTGACTTTGTATGAATGTAAAGTATATTACAAAGCTATCAGACACAAGAAAGAAACTTACCTTCTCAAAAGATAAGAACAAAAAGCGTGGTATGTTACCAAGACATACAGAGTAATGAATGAAACAGCAATGTCAGTGATGGGTAGTGGCTAGAAGTGGAATACAGGATGTGTGTTGTGTCCTGCTTGGTACTCATCAGCTGTACATGGCTGTCTCTCTGTGAGTGATTTTATTCCCACTAAGACTCGTATTCAGAGCCAAGTACTTCAAACCTCAGAGCGTTATCCACTAGGACACAGAGTCAAGATGACCACTACTTTTGCTACGGTAGTAGTATAGTTCAATCAACGACAGAAAATTACAAGCCATCAAATCTAAACTTCAATAATACTTTATTATTAACTATAACTTAGTGCAGCTACCGTCAACCTAATGATGTTCAAGAAAAATAGGTTAACCTTCTATACAGTTAATTTTCATCTGTTATACCTCAGTAGATCAACTAGCTGGCTGGCCCAACTCTGCAACATTTTGTACTCATAAACTGGAATGGGTTCAGTTCTAGAAGTGTATAAGACTGTGAATCATACATTTTTCTTTTGACAGTGCTTATCTATAAACTTATCACTCTAATGTTGATTGATTTTGCATGTCCCGTTGAGTTTAACATAAATAGTAATATTGTTTATTGGTTTTTTCCAATCATAAAATTTTCATTCTTCACTTAAACAGTAATATACGTAGCTAGAAAAATACCAGTCATTCTTTTGGCCATCTTCATTGCCGTTTTCTTATTATACATATATCATGATTAGTATTCATGCTTCTCCGAAAAACATTATTGTTGATACCTGAGATTTTCCGTTGTGATATCGGGACGGATTGATTGACCTCTTTTGACACATGGGCTCTTATGCTGATCCCTCAATATTGCCTGAATATTAAGTGTTATAGGTTATTAGATGGTGACTAGCAGTGGCCTAGTAGATAAGGCTCTGGGATATAAAGCAATGAGAGCAGGATTCTAGTCTTAGTGGAAATAACTTGACTCACTGGGTTGCAGGCATTTGCAGAAGACGAATCCCGAACAGGATGAAATGCGCATCCTGGATTTACTGCTAGCCACCACTAAATAGTTTGTAAAAGGCATAGCAATTTGACTAATATATTCTAATAATTATGTTGGAAGTTTTAACGATTAGTAAATAAGATTTACCATAAATAAGGAGAAATTATAGGTCACAATATCATAGGATCTTATGATATGTTATAGCGTTTGTCATCACATGAGAGCATTTGCGCTTTCAAAAGAATCCATAACTTAAGGCAGTTACCGTCAGTCAGACGTTTATCTTTGCTAATATTGTCTAAAAACTTCAGATTATAATTTTATGCTATTCATGAGTTAGTAAACCCAAGTTTTCTTTGATATGCATCATTTTTCGACTAGCACTGACATCGGTATACAGTGACAAAGGCTATTCTTAAACGTGTAAATGTGTCTCGCATTTCAGAAATAAAAATGACAGCAGGAAAGATCAACCACAGATTTGTTAAGTGTTCTGCTCTTGGTTCGGATATCAGATACCACTCATGTGCTATTTACTTGTTTCTGGCTATATAATGATAATGAAACTGAAAACCGGGTCGGTGGGTGATTTCAGTCATCTACCTTAGCGTTACCTACCAGGAATCCAGCTTTCAATATGACTTTGTTCATTTACTGGGTTGTCTTAGATTGACCTTGATGATAAGGGGGTTCTCATCAGTTAATAAACATCAGCACCAACTGTAGATTAGTTGCCTAGACAATACTATTTTAGACCTAAACAATCTGAATGATAAAACTCATATAAGTAAAAACATTAAGCTAATAAGATATACTACTTATAAGAGACCAGCAATAACCAGATTCTTACCCATTGGAAATGATTTTTGTTGCATTATATAATACATTTCCAAGATGTTGTTGCTTTCTTGGTGGAATATAACTGAAGTAGATCTTGAAACCTTTAATTAATGTGATTGAATGATTTTTCGATGAGTGACAAATTGATTCTTCATAAAGATCATGCTTTACTGCTTGCCAACATGACTTCCATTTCTCCTCAGTCTTATTTGAATAATGAATAGTTTGTTTAAAAGTAATATACTTTTTCCCGCTATGGATGTATGATGCTAATCCAACGGACTCATTAGCCTGAAGATATTGTAAACGTATAATTTGTTGTAAACTTAACAAATGTAACCATTCTGTCTCTGAATGGTTGGATATATCTTCTAAAAATATTTCCACATTATGAAAATAACGTGGAGTAGTTAAATTTAAAAACAGGCTACGAGTATCTTCGCCAACTGGATACCATTGCATATAACTAGGATAGGGTTGAATAAATATGAAACCACCCAGTGTACAGACTAAATGATTAAAGAAAGGAAACCTGTCATTAACAGGAATCGAATCAACGACCAGTGACTTTGTTTCCATATTGAATTTTCCATTAGACTGGACCAATTCTCATCAATCTCTTCATCAAATTTTTCACTTCCAAGTAAACAATCACTTTCTTTCGGTGAATTATTTATCGAACCAGTGTACATATAGTTCGATTTTTCATAGATATATGAAATACAACAGATTAACAGACGAAAGCATATAAACAAGACACTGAATACTCCCTTAGCCAGAAAGCCAACTGAAATGGTAGATTCTTGACAAGCGCAGACATAAACATTTAGAATACCTAATGGAATTTCAGCTAAGAAAATATTCAAAACAGTTACACAGTCAGTAAGAATCCACAGTACGAATCTCCTCTTTATAATGTTTATCCAGAGAAATAGTTCCAGGATACTTAGCATCAGTTCAATAACATTGAGAAATATATAACCTACGATTAGAAATATCGATATTTTATCAAACACTAGACCAGGAACTTGTTCATATAAATCATAAAAAATGATCCAACTAGAGCTTGAATTTATCGTCAAAATTACCAATGTACACATGATATGCAGTGTTAGTAAGCATGGTTTTTTAATGAATTTCGTTAAACTCGACTGATGTCGATTTTGTGAACCATTGATTCTCATAGACGTCGTCTTCATTTCCTGTTAAACTATCTTCCAAGATAATGACCTCAGTTATTCCTTTACCAAATGTGTTGTACAAACTGAAAGCAAACTAGAATTTCGATCGACTGAAGTGTATACTTTATGAATAGTGATCATATACGTTTCATGTTATGAAGTGGAAGAAATATCGATTTATATATATTATACTGAGATATGATATGAATATGAGTTGTATTCAGATTATCTGTATTAACTGAATAATCTTATATTGATAAATACCAATGAAATTGACGTTAGTTATGGAGTAGAGATGAGATAGTCTGGTGTTAATTATTCGCCAACATAAGTGTTCAAATACAGTTGTCTCAGCATTAGTGTACATTGTATGAGTAAAAGCGTAAATACGACATTATGGAGTGAATTTAAAAGCTATCCAAACAACTACTGAAATGTAGTAATGATGGATAGTAGCTAGCAGTGGGATCCAGGGTGCACATTTTGTCCTGTTTGGGACTCGTCGGTTGGATGTACAGAACTCTAGGCCGACCGCTCCAAACCCCAGAAGGCTATATCCACTAGACTACCGAGCCACATAAGCCAATTCTAGTGTTATTGTTTGTACTAGCCCGTCGTTGATTGGACCGAATTAATCGGTCTCTATTGGCAAATGGGCTCCTGAGCGGATGCCTCGATATTGTCTTGATTTTTAATTATATTGTAATGATGCATAATGGCTAGCAGTGGGATCCAGGTCCAATCAACGACAGTATAATACAAGCAATAATACTAAAACTACTGAAATAAGCAAATACATTCCCTCTGTAATTTATCTGGAAGGTTAGTTTTCTGTTAAAAAATATCTAATTAGTAACTCCGGTAGTCTTGAGGGTGGCATTCAGATTCACTCACACTGTGTTGTAATTTGTTCGGTGATAGCTAGGGGTGGAATCAACGATTTTCATTTCGTCCTATTTGGGACTTGTCAACATTCCAGTGACTGATACTGTTCCCAATGACCCTCAAACTCAACACTGATTGCTTCAAGCACCAAAGGGTTGTACACTTAGCTAATCAATCAAGAGAGTCACATTTTATTGAAATATTCCGTTGTTTTAATGAATCGAAATGATCAGTCTCCATTAGCATATAAGCTACTGTGCGGACGCCTCAACAATGCCTGTTGTTTTCGTGATATTAGTTATCGTTATAATACAGATTAATTGTATGAGTATTTCAAACTTGAAAGGAATTGAAAGATAAATTCTCTCGCTTCTTGATTTCGTTAGAATTATGATTCCAAAAACTTCGGAATCAACATTTGACCTGATAGAGTTCAATAAGTTGGACATTGAGAAAGTGGACTATAAATGAAATATATTTGTAGAATTCTAATAAGGTAGAAAAATCAGTCTGTGACGTTTCGGAATCACGTGGAAGCCACTGCTTAGCACGTCCCAATAGCAATGGGGATAAATCAGACAGCCTTGTTCATACATGATAATAATATGGGAATCAGTGTCATCGTTATCAGTCAATAGTTCATGAGTTCAAGGTGAAGATATGTATGCGTGTGCACAAGAGAATGGGATGAAAAATACTATGGATGAGAAATTCAGTTTGTTTGTGTTTGCGCGTGTATATTTTAGTTGTGACTAGCATGTGTAATGTATTATTTCGGATATACTTTCCAGGATAACCAACACTTTCACAAATGCTTTAGTTCACTTAAAATATAGGATTCGTTTTACCTCAATACAGAATTGCGTTTACCAATTAGTCCGTGTCGACTGCGATGCTTATTATATCGCGAAATCATCCTGTGAGATCCTCGTTTGTGCTAAAGAATATGCCAGCTACACAAAAAGCAACTTCCAAATAGTCCTGTAGAGCCCCAAAATCTACAAATCAAAACAGCAATTGCTCTTCGTGCCGTGATTGATGGGCACAAAATTGCTATTGGAAATATCAAAAATATTCATAAAAGATTTTCAAATAACAAGAAAAGACGGGTAGCTGAAGTATTTCCCATTATGTTGAATACGAATGCGCTCAGTAGAAAGGAACGCCTGACTATCTAACCAACTTGGACAGTGGATTGTAAATACCATGTTGCACACATGATGACACTGATCCCCATATTATTATCATGTATGAACAAGGCTATCTGATTTATCTGCATATGCTATTGAAACGTGCGACAACTTATACAGATTTTATTCTCTGAAGCAGTGGCGTCCACATGATCGTGAAATGTCAGAGATCTGTTTTTCTATCTCATTGGGATTTTACAATTATGTTCCCCTTGTGTGACTCAATGGTTTCTCGATAATTATTACGCATACGTTTAATATCATAATAATTCAACTATACTTGTAGTGTGTATAGATTCTGTGATATTTGATGAATACAGGGTTTAGGAACCTCGCCTGGTTAACTAGTTCACTAGTTACTAGCCGGTCCTAAGCCCAGGTAAAGAGGGAAGCTTGGGCATAGGGCTAGCAACCCTACCCCAGAAAACCAATCTAACCGCTAAAGAAACTTCATAGCACAAACGATATATAAAATAAAAACAAACTTATTCCCCGCTGGAATCGGAGAGGCGAAATGACACCAGTTCGTGAAAGCCCTCGGTAAGCCAATTAGCCGATGTGTCTCCTCGTCTCTCGATGAAAGCGAAAGTAAACGTGGGGACATGGAATGTCCGCACCATGTTTCAACCCAGCAAGGCAGCCCAGATTGCAAACGAGATGAGAAGGTATCACATTGAAGTGCTTGGAATTCGCGAAAGCAGATGGAATGGAGTGGACTCCCCAACTCTTAACTGGAGAGTCAATAATCTACTCCGATATTGTCACCCAGACGACAACCACGAGCACACTGAGTTATGGAGTGGCCATCATAATGTCCCCAAGAGCATGGAAGGCTCACTGTCATGCAGTGGAAACCAATCTCCTCCTGCAGGATCATAACAGCAAGGTTCAACTGAAAAGGAAGGAAAGTCACAATTACACAGTGCTACGCTACGCAACGTACCTACAAATAGTGGAGATGAAGAGAAGAAGGAGGAATTCTACAGACAACTACAATCAACACTAGACGAGACACCACCTCAGTTGGCGATATCAAAATTGTAATGGGCGACATGAATGTTAAAGTGGGAGGGGACAACACAGGAAGAGAACTAACCATGGTGGAGAAGCGCTCGGTGAGGTGAAGAACGAGGATGGAGAATTGCTTGCAGAATTCTGTGCATTCAACGATTTGGTGATTGCAGTGAGGCAGTGTGTTCAAGCACAAGGATATCCACAAGGCAGCAACATGGATTTCACCAGACATCAGGACACACTAAAAATCAAATTGACTTTATCTCAAACTCAAGAAAATGGAGACAGTCTACGTGACACAAGGTCAAGGAGAGGTGGAGATGTATGTTCAGACCACTATCTAGTGCAAGGAACCTTCAAAATCAAGTTAAAAGTCTCCAAGGAAGCTGGTGATAGACCACAGTTCAAGTACACCACTCGGAAACTGAAGAATGAAACTACAAAGGAAATCTTCACGACAGCCAGCCATCAAGACAAAATGGGAGATATCGAGGAACAGCCCTGAAGTAACCTGTGTGGAAGAACACTGGAACACTTTGAAAGCTATGTGGAAAGAAACCTGCATAGCCGTATTAGGAAGGAAGAAGAAAGAAGACAAGGAATGGATCTCGACGGATTCATGGAAGCTGATAGAGCAGGGAAAGGAGGATGGTGAAACAGAAGATAAACCAGTGCAAGGATGCTCAACGACATGAGGAACTGAGTACAATGTATGAAACACTACACTGGACAAAGAAGTGAAGAAGAATGCACGGAAAGACAAAAGACACTTCTACGACACACTGGCAAGTGAGTCAGAACAGGCTGCAGGTAGGAGCGACAGAGACCTGACAACATTCTATCAAATAACCAGGTTGCTATCTGGGAAGAGATCAACACACATGAAACCAATAAAAGATGATGACGGAAATTTAATTACGAAAGAAGAGAAACAAAAGAAACAATGGGCCAAACACTTCAAGAAGCTCTTGAATCGCCACCACCACCTGCACTTCGTCCAGAAATACCACCTACAGACCAGCCACAGAAATACAAGTGAACATAAATCCTCCAACAAAAATGGAAATCCTGAACGGCATAGAGCTACTGAAATGTGGGAAAGCAGAAGGACCAGATGGGATCCCACCAGAAGCACTGAGAACAGACGCAGAGACAACAGCCGACATACTCACACCACTATTGGAGAAGGTGTGGAAGGAAGAGAAGGTACCTGCCAACTGATTGGAAGAAGGGTTACCTTGTCAAACTTTTGAAGAAAGGAGATCTCAGTGTTTGCAAGAACTGGTGCGGAATCACTCTCCTGTCCACCCAAAGCAAGCAAAATACTATGCCGCATCATCGTGGAGAGGCTAAAGGATGCACTGGATTCAAAACTACGACCGGACCAGGCAGGCTTCAAGAAGTACAAATCATGTGCGGACCAAATTGCAACGCTTCGCATCATCATGGAACAGAGTATAGAATGGCAGTCGACTCTCTTCCTCAACTTCATCGACTTTGAGAAGGCCTTTGACAATGTCGACCGAGAGGTAATTTGGAAACTGCTTCAATAGTATAGAATACCGCAAACCTTTATCAATCTCATTCAACAACTATATGAAGATGCCACATACCAGCCAAGTAATTCACAATGGGAAGCTCAGTGATGCCTTTGAAGTGAAATGAAGACAGGAGTAAAACGAGGCTCTCTACTATCACTCATGATATTCTTGATTGTGGTCGACTGGATCACTTAACAAACAGTGGGGAGCGAGAAGACGGGGATAGACTGGCTGGACCGCGGAAAAGAACCTAGAAGACTTGGATTTCGCCAGTGATAACTTGTGTCTGATGTCACACAAACTTGAAGATCTACAGGCGAAAACTAACAAGTTGTCAGATGAGGCAGGGCAGCGAAGACAGGACTTCATTCAGGTGAACGTAGAGAAG